CGGAAACATAAAAAGCGATAAGCGCGAGTTATTTTTAAGCAATGAAAGGCGGCGAAAGCAAAGCAAGAAGTGTCGCTCGTCGATCCGTCGTTGCCTTATATTCATTTTGTCCTGCGCCCGCGCCGGGGGCTGGTAGGCAGTGGCTTGCGGATGCGTCGAACGCCCCTTTCTAGGCCGTGCACCAATTAGCGATGCATGAGGCGGTCCTTACGGCCGGACAGGTTTCGATGTTGTCGCGAGAACAATAGATCGCCTGATCATCGTATGATTTACGACTCTGGCTTCATTTATAAGCGAGAGCGTATATGATAGTGATTTTAGTCGCTACACCACTCCCCCGCTGAGACCGTTGCTACGGTCGATAGTAATCAGGGAATCGCACTTTCCGCCCGCTTCGCGTCATCTTGGAGGGCTCTTGGTTTGTGGTTGCAGATGCTTCTTTGGTAGGCGCTGATGTGTTTTTCTCGTCTGCGACGAATGCTGGTTTAAGACGGTCAATAGATATAGTCTGCGCCTGGCCTTTTATCTCGATGTCGAACGTTTTGGCTCCTCGCTTTAATATTTTATAAGGACCGGTGTATGGTGCTTGCAACGAACTACGTGTGGGTCCCTCACGGATGAAGACATGCGTGGTCTGTTGCAGACTTTTGGGTACGTAGAAGGTGCGCGTACCGTGCCATGCTGTTGGTGTTGGGGCTAGCTGTCGGATATGTTGCTTCAATCTGTCAACAAAATTAGTGATGTCGACTGGTTCGTTTGTGGTTGGTTGAAGAAACTGTCCAGGCAAGCGCAGGGGCTCGCCGTAGACCAGTTCTGCCGTTGAAGCTTGTAAGTCTTCCTTCCATGCGCTGCGGAGACCTAAGAGAACAAATGGCAGTGCCTCAGTCCACTGCGTGGTGTTATGGCACATGATAGCGGCTTTAAGTTGTCTATGCAGCCGTTCCACCAATCCATTTGCCGCGGGATGGTAGGCTGTAGTAGTGTGATGCTGTGCGCCCAGTATTGCTGCGATGCCCTTGAAAAGCCGGGACTCGAACTGGCGGCCCCGGTCGGTTGTGATGTGGCCCGGACAACCAAACCTGGCAACCCATCCGGATATGAAGGTGGTGACACAGGTTTCCGCCGTGATGTCTTGGAGTGGAAATGCCTCAGGCCATCTGGTGAATCGGTCGACTAAGGTGAGGCAATACCTGTAACCAAGGGAGTATGGTAAAGGCCCGACAATGTCCATGTGGACATGTCGGAAACGGGCTGATGGTAATGAAAATACTTCTAGCGGGGCAGTAGTGTGCCGCACCACCTTACTGCGCTGGCACATTTCGCATTCTTTCGCCCATTGTCGACAGTCTTTTTTGACTCCTCGCCACACGAAGCGTTGTGTCACCAAACGGACTGAAGTTTTTACGCCGGGGTGACTCAGGTTATGCAGCATGTTGAATACCTGTCTACGAAACGGTTTTGTGACATAAGGTCTAGGTGATTGCATTGTTACATCACAGTAAACCTCGGTGTCAGACATGTGTGGCTTGATTTTTCTTAGCTTCAGACTTGGGCTATTTTGCAGCAGCTCATTCAATTCTTCGTCTGAGTCTTGATTTTTAGCGAGAGACTGGTAATCAAGGGACGCTTCCAATTCTTCCACGCGAGATAAAGTGTCAGCGACTATGTTGTCCTTTCCTGCAACATATCGAATGTCAGTGCTAAATTGGCTGATAAGATCTAAATATCTAAATTGACGTGGAGAGCAGTGATCGCGACGGGAGTGAAATGCGAATGTCAGTGGTTTGTGGTCAGTGAATATGATAAAGGGTCTCGCTTCTACCATGAACCTGAAATATTTTATGGCTTCATATATTGCTAGCAGCTCACGATCGTAGGGGCTATACTTTTTCTGAGAAGGACTGAGTTTCCTTGAAAAAAATGCAAGTGGCTGCCAAGTATTGCCTTTTTTCTGCTGTAGCACCGCTCCAATAGCTGTGTCCGATGCGTCCGTCTGTAGAGCTAGCTCTGCATGTACATCTGGATGAGCTAATAATGAGGCTTCTATTAAGGACGTCTTACATTTATCGAAGGCTTCTATCAGTTGTGGAGTGAGGTTTATGGATTTAGATCCTCTTGTCTTCGGTCCTGTCAATAGCACGTTTAACGGTGCTTGTAACGATGCAGCCTTGGGTATAAATCTGCGGTAAAAATTAATCATACCTAAAAATCGCCTGAGCTCTTTGACGGTCTTCGGTATGGGATAGTTCTGGATCGCTTCGGCCTTGGCTTGTAAAGGTCTCACTCCAGCTGCTGTCACTGTGTATCCTAAAAATGTTACCTGTTTTTGCCCAAGTACGCACTTCGAAGCGTTTATCAGTATACCGTAATCTGTTAGCCGTTGAAATAGTAACCGAAGGTGTTGCTGATGCTGGAGTTCTGACTCCGAAAAGACCAGTACATCGTCGATGTAACAATAGCAGAAATCCAACCCTCGCAGCGCTTCATCCATGAACCGTTGGAACGTTTGTGCAGCATTTCGAAGTCCAAAGGTCATGAATGGAAATTCAAAAAGACCGAAGGGGGTGGTGATGGCTGTCTTCGGTATATCGTCTTCATTAACCCTTATCTGATTATATGCCTTCAAGAGATCTACCGTAGAAAATATTTTCTTACCCGCTAGCTGGTGATCAAAGTCCTGGATGTGCTTGACTGGGTATCTATCTGGGACGGTGCGTGCGTTCAAAGTTCTGTAATCGCCACAGGGTCTCCAGCCATCATCTTTTTTACGTACCAAGTGTAGTGGGGAAGACCATGAACTTTCTGACCTGCGGGCTGTTCCATTCTTTAACATCTCATCGAACTCATTTTTAGCTATCAGCATTCGCTTTGGATCAAGACGGCGTGGACGGCAAGCGACTGGTGGCCCCGGTGTTGTCCTAATATGATGTACAGTATTATGCTTTGGTACGTTTAGCTTACCAGCAGGGCGAGTGATATCAGGGTATTCTCGTATGATGTCCAGGTAGACCGATTTTCCATAAATGGTTCGTATGGAAGAAATATTTTGTGATGGAATGTGGCATGAAACCTCAGCTTTTAGTGAAGTAAGTTGGTCCTCCAGTCTTTGCTTGCGGCAGTTGACCAACAAGTTATAGAAACTTAAAAAATCAACGCCAATGATCGGTTTAGAGACATCAGCAACCGTAAAACGCCACTCGAATGCACGACGCAGGCCTAGATCAAGGGTTAAATTAATATAACCGTATGTATGTATTACTGTACCGTTTGCAGCAAATAGTTCGTACTTGGTTCTGGCACGCGGCTCGCTGATCCGTGAACGAGGAAACACGCACAAATCTGAACCTGTATCGACGAGGTATTGAACTTTGGTCTTGCGTTCAGTAATAAAAAGGCGGCCTGTTGTCGTTGGGCAGACACTTTCGGCCACTAACGGCTGCCCGTGTCGTTTCCCGTTTTAAAAGTGCACGGTGAAATACATTTTCGCGCTTTTACGCCAAACCGATAATGGTACCAGCAGTGTGGGTGTCCTTCAGATGGATATCTGGATCTGGATTTTGAACGTGACCTGCTGCGGGACCTGTTGTTGCTATACCTATGTACATTGCCTCTTTGACGCGAATTTCTATGCTGCTGGACCCTTATCGACTCCACTTGCCGCGTCAGTTCTGCTATTCTATCACATAAAGTATCGTAAGCAGTACCTGGCATAACCGATGGCGAACTGGCTACCTGAGCAACGCTTGGTGGTGCGATATCCTGTATGTGGTCTGCCAAGTCCGCCACGGCCTCGAGGGAGCTGTCTTTCTGTAAAGCAACAATAGTTTGTAAGTTGGAAGGTAATCTACTGGCCCAAATAGTGCGCATGAGGTCATTTGATACGGTAGCTCCTGCTAAACTTTGCAGATGACGTAAAAATTGGGACGGTTTGCGGTCCCCTAACTCCTCATGCATAAGTAGTTGTTTAATTTTTCGCTCTTTAGAAGTAGTCAAGCGCTTGATAAGCTCTGCTTTCAGTTTTTCATATTTATTTATGGCTGGCGGAGACACTATAATATCTTTGACTTCTGCTGCAAATTGATGATCCAATTGACCAATCACATAAAAAAATTTTGTAGTGTCACTAGTAATATTAGATAGCGTAAACTGACCTTCCACTTGGGCAAACCAGACCTCAGGTTCCTCAGGCCAGAACGGTGGCACTCGAACACCCACACGATAAACATCGCTCATATTTCCGCTTGCACTTGGACCACTGCCGGTGTTATTGTTATGTTCCGATGACGCCTCTGCAAACTCGTCCTTGTCGTTCATCGTTCTTCAAACGTCGGTTGTCACCAGTGAAGGGAATGAAATGAGTTATAAAACCCCTTGCCAAATTTGTTGTAACTGATTCCAACTCGTTACTATTATTTATTACACACAATAGACTACACGATATATTAATTAATTAAAACACGTCACGACTTTACAGAAACGTTTTACTTTACAGAATAATACATGAATTTAAAACCAACATTTATACATAAAGAATGACAAGAAACGGAAACATAAAAAGCGATAAGCGCGAGTTATTTTTAAGCAATGAAAGGCGGCGAAAGCAAAGCAAGAAGTGTCGCTCGTCGATCCGTCGTTGCCTTATATTCATTTTGTCCTGCGCCCGCGCCGGGGGCTGGTAGGCAGTGGCTTGCGGATGCGTCGAACGCCCCTTTCTAGGCCGTGCACCAATTAGCGATGCATGAGGCGGTCCTTACGGCCGGACAGGTTTCGATGTTGTCGCGAGAACAATAGATCGCCTGATCATCGTATGATTTACGACTCTGGCTTCATTTATAAGCGAGAGCGTATATGATAGTGATTTTAGTCGCTACAAGTGTATATACATATAACGTTATTATACGCGATTCTCTGTTTACAACTAGAAATTGGCACATGCTATCCCTTTTGTTTGCAATTCAAATCATAAAATAACGATTTAATAAAGACTTCTTTTGTTTCAGGTCGCAATTGATGGCGTTTCTCAGCATCCAAAGCGATTGGTATATTTGTTTCTGGCTTATTTATTGCAAAATCTATTCAGCTATTATATGGGTATTCGGTAATCACTGCCGCGGTACTGATAAGGCTCGTTCAGTGATAAACACTGGTGTTAGCGTGCAGTCGCCTGGAGGCCTTTGTAGAGTGCGCACGCGTCGCCGCAAGCCACAACAGCAGCTCCGATATAAGCACATAGTTGCGTTAGCAAGGAGACCTTCCCTCAGAAGAATAGTGATGGCACCAGGAGCCAGCGCCGCGCACGCTATGATGGAGGACAAAGAGAAAACCCTCCACGCTACCGGTGAGTTCTGAACAAAGCTAAAAGTGATTGTAATTTTGCATTGACCTTAAAAATCATGTGCCAATGTCTCCGTTTCATAGAGCAAAAATAACTGAATAAAACCTTTCAGCTATAATATTATCGAGCAACAAACGGGTGGGAACATAACCTTTTTAGTCGGATTTTATTATTAGCGACGGTATTTCTCTCGATATCCTTGTCGTCTGCATGGACTCGAAAGATCCAGATCTGAGTATAAGACAATCAGCATTGTTAATAAATGTTATAATTAATTACTCACCCACGTTGTGTCAGCTAATAATAACAAATGTATCTTGTATCGGGTAATTAATAAACGCTATAATACATATTTTATTGAATTTATCAAACAATATTATATTTAAATACAATGAAAATTGTAAAATTAGCTAATAAGGATTTATTATAAATAGGAAAGTATAATAAACTACAGGCAAATAAATTTTGGAGATCATTCAATAGTGCACTGCCGCTCTCTTCCGGCAATGACTTCCTCATAAATTATATCATTAGGAAGGTCGATAAACAAATAATTATACTTTTAAAAAATTAATCGCATTGCATCATCAGACACGCTGACGGACAAGTTTCAGTAAACTTCCTTATAATAGCTGCTTTGTTATATTTTACCGCGTTCAGTCAACTTTATCATCAATATAAAAGATATGATTAAGCTAATAGGTTTAGTTAATACATACTATAGTTAAATAAGCCACAGCTCTCATCTACGTGAGAAATTCCAAAGGTCTTTGCTTTTGTTTTTATTCAAATTTAGCTTCAGAGACCTTATGTACAGATAAAGAAATAAATACTATTAAGCATGCTCAACCACTCCACTAGACTGTCTCATCTCATCGACTGCAGTAACGCAAATCTAATTAATGCCGGTTACGAAGGTGGTACAAATAGATTACTTAAGCATTTTCTGAAATGTAATTTGGTATAGGTTTATTGTTTTATTTTTGAGCGATATATTCACAAAATTACCTATATTTGTATAAATCGCTCTTTCAATCTTATTTAGACTTCAAGTTCAAAATCATCAATAAGATTAATCCGTCAATGACATATACGATAGATAGAAAAATTTCCCACAACTCACCAACGATCACCATGGCAACCGGCCAGCATACACAACTTGTGCCCAATGCTGAACATCTGGCAAAAAGTTTGCAGTAGCATTAATTTTACTGATTACAATTAAATTAGTCTGTCATACGAGCCAAACGTGATTAACCAATTCTATAAATAGATAACGCACTCGAATATCACTTTCAATTCACGAAAGTGATAAAAGTTCAATTCGTGAAAGGCAAGTCAGAAATCCGTTTTTATACTCACGAAACTATTTCCGAATCCGTATCATTGATTCCTGTCATTCTAATAAATCCATCGGACAGCTAAATATTAATCGTAACAAAAATATCTCAATAAGTTTTGCAGCCTAATAAAATAACATAATTTTTTGTCTTTTCTTTCTCCACTTGCGTAAGTAACACACACTAATTTGCTAGGTATTCTTTTGTTTTTAATTGAAAATTATTACGGATATTAGATCTATACAAGTTTATGAACAGTACATATCGTAGATATCTTCACTGATTAAAAATCAATAAGCTATCGCATCATGTTACGTTTGGTTAAACGTTTATTTATCAACTTTCTATTTAGCAATAAAGTAGTTTTCCGTGGCATGGGTATGGACGATGATACTGTTCTGTAATGAAGTCAGAGTTCGTTTCATATCACAAATAAGTGACGATAATTATAAATAACAATGAGAAGAATCTCGTATAACGCTCCAATAGGGGTGTGAACTGATTTTTTATCGCTGGAGTATATCACAATGTCGAGTTCAAATAAACAACATTTACAAGAAAAAAATAAAAGTGCACGGATTTTTCAATTCGAAATTTATGCACAGTTAAAGCTAGACAGATTGAGATAGGAATAGATACGCGTATGACGTCATAACTTAGTGACCCGTAAGCGTCGCATGAACGAACGGAAAGCATCCTCACTCTGAACCGCACCCTATTACTTCAAAACCGTTATATAATTAAAAAAAATAATAAAACAGTTATGTTATTTCCGCCCACAATTGAACAATCAATAAGTTTTTTATTTATATTACCAATGATATTAGTGATTGACATAACTAAGACAAAGATACCGTCAACAATGAAATTTCATAATGAACGTCTTGTCAAAGTGACTAATGATCTGTAAACAAAAAAAAATATACCTACTGTCAGTTGCATAAACGTCCATTAAGATTTAATGGCAATATTATGAATGTATTAAATTTGAAAATTTGTATGGGTAATGTGGCATTAAATATGTCAATTATAATGGTTGTTTGTGCAACTGTCTATATATCCATTGCACGTTATGTAAATAATTCTGTATTATATTTTCTACTTAGGTGAAATAAAAGAAACGGATATTTTTTATATCAATGATGAATTACGACTAGTTGAGTTTCTACTAATATAGAGTTGGTTATATCTAAACAAGGTAGAGACTTATAAAAAACAACAGCAATCGGTCAGTGTAGTATGACGTAGAGCCACGCCCCCGACCCGGCAGACCTTGCGCAGGCGCAGGATGCCGCGCTATATAAACAATAGGTTTATATTATATGATTATTTAATCGCGCCAACATATCTAAGTTTGCAAGTGCAAATGAACCTTATTTTTAAAAACAAATAAAACATGGAGATATGAATTTTTAAAATCTCGATTAGATATACAAATGATAAAGTAAGTACTATACTTATGACGTCTAATTCTAGTAAATCGTAGTAGATATGGAACTTTATTTAATTTTATATTAAAAGTGAATAATAGCTTACTAACTAATTTATTATGGAAATTAATTTAGGTCTAGAAATCTGCGTACTCAACGCATATAGAAACCGTATCTCTTTTATTAAAAATCATTGTCTATGATAATTATCGATTTATTACTGATATACGTACTAAATAAACGCATTTATGTAGGTATACTTGAAATTGATTGATGTTAGTTCATTTATCAAATAACCCCCCGCTAATCATTATCAATGAAAGTGTTGCTATGCTATACGTTATCAATTAAGAAAGATCCTACAGAATATACCTAAATGTTTATATAAAATTCTAACAAAGGCGTTGATGTAATTACTTCAATATATGATCAAGAAATGATGATAAACTTGTTTTTCTTGTTTGGCAAAGATTGTCATTTAAAAATTTTGCATGATAGAGTTGGTTAAATATTGCTTGATGTTTTAGGTATATTTGAAACGGATGTTATTGTTTCTCGATAAAAGTACATTATATAAATGTAAATAAAGAAGATATACTGTAAAAGACTGAGACGTGATATTAATTTAGGTTTGGGGATAGGAAAAATGTATGTGCAAAAAAATTATTGATTCTTGTTTTGTTTTTGGCCGATTCCTGAGAAGAGTTTCCGGCATCGAAGTCTTTGGTTTTTTGGCGTCTGCTTGCTATTCTATAATAAAACAATCTCGAACTCGACGTCAAGTATAATGTTGTCGTAGTATAGAGGTTCAATGAAATAAAATCTATATTACTCTTTGAAGTAGATTGTATTTGATTGAATCTTTATACTGTGACAGTGCTGTGCTGAAGTTGAGTTCAACCAATGATTTTTATCATTCAGTACTACACTAATTTTATTAATGAATAGCAGTGCATTGACAATTTACTACCAGCATTCTATATTGCTTTTAGAATAAAATCTAAAATATAGTACATAATCAACGAAACAGCGATTACTTTTTGGTCATCGCATCCTTTTTCTTTTTCAAACTCCTTGCTGTGCTTATCTCTTTCCGAACAATTGACAAAGCATGCTAGAAGACCCCTACTGTATCCATTTCCGATCGTTTGTTTACGAATAAGGCCATTGGTTTTGCTATTACATCGAACACGTTTCATGTATCTTTTATTTGTTTGTCATGTCTTGCAATAGATAACACCGTCTCGTCGGATATACAGTCTTTTATGTTGTTTAGATTACAACATATTTTTTAAAATCGTAAGCGTAATCAGTTTTCGCTTACTACCTATATATGTAGCTGACGCCATATTTCAACATATTTCATGTCGATGTTGATGGTTTTATTGAACTATTGTTGAGATTACTATAGCTTTAGACTCAATAAATTTTTGTTATAAATAATACGCGATAAATGTTATACCTATCGCTTTATTTTTGTAAATTTCTCATGTCCAGTGTCTCCTTCACGTAAACGATTTGAAGATTTTTTTATAAAGAACATTATTAAAGTAGTAAACACATTAATATTCCTGTCGGCCGCTAAGACTTTATTACTGAAGTTTTTCCCATGTCTACTTAAACTTTGAACAAGGTTCTCCTTCTGGCTTAATACTTAATCGGCAATACGGCAAATCTTCGAACCAATAAACATAGTAAAGATAGGTCAATCCTTATAAGGCTTCTGTGACGTCATTGATACTCGTTAATAACGCAACATTATTCATTTACATATGTAATTAGACCTAACTGCGATTAAATGTTATTCTAAGCCTTCTAGTTCTTCAAAACGAACGCACGCATTAACTGACTGGAAACGCGTGCCGCAATGTATTCTCTTTTGCGTTTTTAGCTAAACCACGTATTTTAAATGTAATGTGGTGTCACGTTTTTTAAAAATGTCATGCTTGTTAATATGTCCGTTTCATGTAATTGCTACTTAGTTAATGTAATTTCTTAAACGTTTGGGTAGAAACGTTTAAATTGCTATAAAAATTTGCAAAATCGAAACTTGCAAATTTACCATACCGTCGACGGATGTCATTTAAACCCTTATCATTATTATAATTGTTGTTGACATTTGAGATATTAAGAGAAAATCGAATGATATTTCATTTTAAAATAAATGAAATAATCGATAAAAATATTCGATTTTCTCTTTCAGGAAAGTGTCATGCGACACGCAACGTGATCTAAATTGAGAGCAGTCTGGTTATTTTAAGCGCACGTTTGCAAACTCAAAGTCCTTTATATGCTTTTTATTTGAAACGAAGAAGATTATTTTCTTCGTTTCAATATTTTTGCGGGCTTCTTTCTGTTAAATATCTATATAAATACGTAAATTAAAATAAATCCTTTTTACGCATAATCCTATCATACCACATTTTCTGGGAGACGTGTAAACATTTAAGAAATAAAGCTCCATGTGCTAATATAACGAAATAAAAACTACACTATTATACTAAATTCTAATTAGATATTAGCATAATATAATCTTTGTTACGTCAATCGTTAATGCTATAAAAATCATTCCTTCCCGTTTAGTTATCTGCTATTCGAATAAATCGATCGTTTCCTTGACTTCACTCTAGGTGCAAAGTCCATGCGTGCCGTGTTGGCAAGAGCACCGAATATTACGCCTCGCCTTTTTATAGGCCTCTTTACTGTAGTATTTAATTTTATTTCATATAAAAAAATACATGTGCATTTCTTCTTTATTAATTACTATTTATTAATAACAACACTGATTCTGTGTCCTCGCGTTTCCACCCATAAAACTTGAAAAGCAGATAGATGAGGACAGATTAACTCGAATTTTTTTACACAACATTAATAAATAGTTTTGTCTTTGCTCATATTACTACAAAAATAGAAACATTAACTGTGGTAACATTTAACTATTTACTTAAAGTAAAGTAAAAATATTTAGTATCAAATCAATAAAACATTGATATGTATAATTAATGGTGATGACGGTTACTCTAACTGTTAAAAAAATTGATTGGAACAAGTCCGATGTTTTCCTTGCCTAACACGTTTTTATAAAAAAATAATAAAAAATGTATGGGTGGGCGCGCCAACTAATAGCGATTCTCATTGGCCGCAGGAGGTGTGTAGTAGATAAAGTTGATGACGTAAACGTTTCGCAAGCCCGTGGACGTTTATAACATTCAAATAGTTACTTTTAGATAACTCGTTTAGTAAGTTGTTTTATAACTTGCATTTAGTTGTTCACATGGAAACTATATTTTCTAGAGAATTAAAATATTTGTATAGTTTAGTTTGCAAAATTTATCTTCAGTTCATTAAAAATGTATAATATATGCTATATCCAAGTATATTTGATGAATTAAATTATAAAGTAAAAACCTTGATTTCGTAAATTAAATAAGATGTTAAAATATTTGAATAATGAAATGAACTGAAGATAAAGTTTGCAAACTAAAATACACAAGTATTTTAATTCTATAACAACAAACAATTAGAAACAAAAATATACCATTGATGATTTTCCGTTATAATGATTGAGGTTTTTCGTTTCAATATTTATAACAAGAAAAAGGCGCGTTAACAGTAAAACTGTCTCTTATCATCATAGATAAGTAAGTAATAAAACATTTAAAAGCAACCGGCAGACATCTATATCTATGTTGAAATTAATAAAAGTTCTATATAATTTAAATCCACACGTCTAATGACAATTTTTGTATTTGTTACAAACATATACCAAACATTTTATTAATTGATTTGACACACATTTTACTGTCTTAATGCCAATAAAACCAAATTTCAAAAATACATCTCAAATTTTACATTATTCTTCCCCAAAAACATTAATCTCACTTAGAAAACCTCATACTATATATGATAATTATTAAAAAAAAGGACTACCTAAATCATAGGCTCTTAAATTATATCCATAAATGACCTTACTCCGATCGCAGTTGTGCAAAAAATATAAAATAAAAATCATTGTAAACATTTCTTTCTTTTTACAGTGGCCCTGCACACTCGGCGTATCAGCCAGTTTGCACCACTATTGATTGCGCTGGTGGGTCTACCGGCGAGAGGAAAGAGTCAAGTCGCTCATCGTCTTTCGAGACATCTCAACTGGAATGGAGAGAGCACAAAAGGTACACATCAAACTCTATTGAATGAATTAATGACCTATTTTCCTGCGCCGTTCATTTCTTAAAACTTTGGTTATTTTGTAAATGGATAAAAACTCATCCCAATGTGGGCGCTACAGTTTTTTTTAAATAGATACATATAATTCACTATTCACTATTATTGCCTTTTATACTGTTAGAACACCATGACCCAGTTGCTATAATAATATTGATGTATGGATCACGCCGCTATTAACAGACATACCAATTTATATGACGAGATGCCGACATCTCGTCCAATATGGCCTACATTGTTAAAGATAAAAATAACATACGATCTTGCTCAAATAAACCTTGATTATTTTATCAATTATTATATGAAGACACGCATAATTATAGTTCATTAAACGTTTCATAAGAGGCAGTTGTTCTGCTTTATTTTAGAAGGCAGAAATTGCGAGTAATACACAATATAATTTTTATCCTTTGAATTTTGTCATTTTGTTACTAACTTGGCTTGCAGATTTCTTAAGACTTTCTTTATAATTTCTTAAGACTTTCTTTAAAAAAGTTAACTATTACTTAAAGACATAAGTATTTATAAAGACATATGTAGTTCATAAGAATTTTACGTTCTGTAAAATTTTCAATGTTTTGGCAAATTATCTTTAACTAAAACACCTTTCGCTGTTATAGGAAAATGTGAATGAACTAATGAATATAAATAAGATTCGTGAGAGTTGGTAACATGCCAATAAAAGGGACGCAGTTCTATTCTCTTGAAAAAAGAATTGCTCTTGTACAGTGTTCGACTGTAGTGAGTACCGGCGCCGTCATATGGCCCTGTACGGTAGCCACGACATCTTCCGTGCGGACCATCAGCAGGGCTCTGCCATCCGACGGCAGAGCGCTAGAGAGGCCGTGCAAGATGCCGTGCTCTGGCTCAAAGATGGGAACAGTGTCGCTGTAAGTATTTCTAACATTACTAATTCATAAAGTCTGTGTAAAGAAAAAACCAAAATACAAGCAAAAAAGACATTCTGCTCAATAGTGGAGGAACCTGCAAAAAAAAAACATTACTAATTCAAACTTCTTTTCGAACGTCTCTACATATAAGTCTTTGGTTTCTCATTTCTAACTCCATAGTCCAATGTGTACCTACTAAATTATAATCTACTTGACCAAATTTAAATAGCATATCTTCGTGTTATTTTCAGCTACGTTTATCAAATAGACTAAATAAAAAAAATAAAAAAATGTTGTCATCGTCATTATGTCTACAGGAAAGTATTCAAACCAGCACACTCAAGCTATAGACTAAAATCTATTGAAGAAATTTGATAGTTTTGTAAGACTTGCTATGTTGGTGTTGACTATATGATACAATGGTATATTACCAATATTTATTTTAAAAAAGTTATAAATGTTTGATGTTATTGTACCTACGAAAACGTTGATTGGTCTGGGAAGGTGTTGTCATGAAAAAGAATTTTCATAAACAAACTATTGTTGTGTAAGAAACTATTAATACGACACCTAAAAGGTTCCGGAAACTCTCACGGTTCATGAAATACATAGAGACAACAGGTAGACAGAAAGCGAAGTCTTAGTAATAGAGTTCCCGTTGTACCCTTTGGGTATATCCTTCTTTATATATCCTTGATAAGATAATAAATTGGTACAATAAGAACAACTTTGCCTATCATCACTTGACCTAAAACAAGTCTTTCTTTTTAGATATTTGACGGCACCAACATAACGAAGGAACAGCGTCAAGAGTTGAACGAGTACTGCCTCTCAGATATGGGCTTTAGGATCCTATTCATTGAATGCGTCTGCGAGGATCAAGAGTTACTCGAGAGGAACATTATAGAGATACTCCACTACTCTGCGGATTACAAGAACATGAGCGAGGAAGAAGCAGTGGATGATTTGAGGAAGAAATTGGAGCATTACATGAGACAATACGAGCCCATTGACGCGGGTTTGGAGGATATTAGTTTTGTCAGAGTGGAAAATATGGGAGAAACAGTGACAGCCCATAGAGTTGCCGGCCAGAAGGAGTCAGGCATACTCGGATATTTGTCCTGCATGAGAGCTTTGCCTCAAACATTGTATTTCACTCGGGTAAGTTTCCTTTCAACTTCAATACTGTAATCTTCTCAAGTAATTAGTTCCGTATCGTAATATTTAATAAAAGATAAACTTGTTTGCAATCATTATTATATTACTTATTTGCGATTAACTTGAGTTCAGCTACTTAAGCATAAGATATATGATTATACGCATGGTCGTAATTATGTGGCATTCTCTCAGATTTGTACTTAGTGTAATTGGAAAATGAATTGCTAGCTCTTTACTCATGCTAATTATATGGAATATTTCCAGTCATTATAATCATAATTTATAAAGCAGTTATCCCCTAACTTAAGACTTCGAATTTTTGAGCATTTTACTATCTAATCTTTTGACGAATTTGTATCGTAGTATTTCTGTTTTTTTATTATGCCAACGATTCCAAGTTCTTTTCAAATAATGTCCCCTTACTGGAATCAAAACTGTTTTTAGGCAGTGTACTTGTTAAATAGAAACTATAAATAATAATAGTGCAACAACTACTTAATCTTACGCAGTCTTAATCTATGTCTATGGGCAAATGGGCAAAGCAAGAGAATATAAACTTATTAAAAAAGCAATCTAAATTTTACGAATTTTGCACAAATTTAGTGCAAAATTTAAGGTATGATTCCGCAGACACCGCAAGCTGCAGATCACTCGTAACTTCCAGTTTTCACCGACCATATCTAATGTATTTCATATTAAATTAGAAACCAAAAGTGACAATTGTGGTTAGGCGTCTGCGGTCTGCAGCTTCGGTTGTAGTTTGCGGTCTGCGATCGTCTTCGGAAAACTTTATTATTCCTGTTTAACGGCGCTAACTCGCAATATGATATGATGTTTCGTCATCCTCATGACTACATTGTCCTCGGATAACAGACTTGATAGCCCCACTCGCTTACTTATCTGCTAAAGCGTGCTTAGTTGTATAATTCCAATGTTATAATTCATCCAAGTGTGGATTCGCGGACTGAATGTTCTTTAATGAATAAGTCATGTAAAAAATGTAAGTGTAGATCTTGTAATGGAATTAAACGTCGGTTAAATTAAATTATCAAACATCAAATATGTATGAAAAAATAATTTGTGAGTAAAAAGCAAATTGAGTTACGAAATAAGTCATAGTCTATTTTATTTCTTTGAGTTTATTTTAATATGTAAGTTTTGAATATTAGTTAAAATTTTTGAATCGAAAATATCAGTTATTATTATGTTACGTGTAAAAGAACGAAAATTACTGATTTAAGTTCATTTTCTGAAATATGTCGAACATAGTATAACATCTCACCATCTTCTGACATTAGTATTTTTTTTAGTGTCACTACTTTAAAATTTCTTAAAAAAATTCCAAGCAGCTTTTCCATTTATAAAATCCTATATTGCTTCACAAAACAAAACTGTCTAAACTCTAATATTCTACTCTAAATCTATATTCTGTATTCTCAGCACGGTGAGAGCGAATACAACGTACTCGGTCGTATCGGTGGTGATGCGTCTCTGTCTGCGCGCGGGCAGCTATATGCTAGTGCTTTGGCCGACCACATGAACGCAGTGGGAAGCCGAGAGCCGCTCACCGTGTGGACATCAGAGTTGCGTCGCACCAAGCAGACTGCCGCCGACATAAGAGCACCAAAGAGGGCTGTCCGAGCGCTCAATGAATTGGATGCAGTAAGTTATTTTCTTTGCACCTCTGTCTAGAAACACATAATTTAGAACAATTATGCTCATGAAAATAACTAATTAGACACGTGTGCCTGATAAGCATGGTGGACGGGCCTCGACTTGCTTTACTCGCTCGATCCTTACTTAGTAGTAAGGTTCGCTTGTTGTTGTGCGAACCTATTATCTACATTAACGACATAGATTATCAAACGCTAGCTCTCAGAGGGTTTGAACTAATGTAACTTGTAAATTATCCTTAACTTACTAATGTTTTTGTATCTTATACTATAAAGAGAAAAGCTGCGGCTCAAAATAGTCGCATATTAAATTAAAGTAGAAGTAGGTATATAGAAGGAATTAATGCCCAAGTTCATTTAAACAAACATTTCGACACTGTTTTGTTACCTTTTATTGTTTTCTATTTCCATAACACATTGGTTTTGTCAACCGCATACCTACTACTTCCGAAAAATGTAGACTGCGTTTTTACGAAGTTAACTAAGTATGTTAGTTCTTTTGGATCTATTAGTGTTATTGTTAATGTTTCCATTAATTATGCTATAAACTGTTCGCATAGTCTTATTGCATTAATCGAACTTTCTTTTAATAGCTCCGTGATTAAATGCGCCGGAACTAAGTTCGAAATAATTTTATTGATTCGCTTATTTATCTATAGAGACTATAATTTCTAAGCGGATTTAAAAGGATAAGTCTATAAAATTCCGATATCATTGTATTATGTACCGAAATTATTCATCGAAATATGATAATTGCTAAGTTTTGATAACAGTCATGCGTTCAATATACAGTGAACCCATGATAAGTTTCGCTTTTAAATTAAACTTACTTATACCTATTTCACTTATTCTTAAAATATCTTTTAGGTATTACACTCGTTGTTAGACTGTCCATACCTTATCTAAATATAATTCATTGATTTACTTTACAAATTTATCACCTTGTGATAAAAAATAGCATCAGGCATTTAAGAACATTTGTTGGTAAGCTATAACCTTAAAACGGGTATTTTTTAAATATTTGTCGATGTCGAACTTAAAGATAAATTTAAATTAACCAACATAAAAAATACGCTTAGCTTGAATTGAAAGAAACATACAATAGGAATAACAAACTGAATAACCAACATATAATAGGAAAATTACTGGAAAAACGGAAAATGCTTTGGGTTCCTCTCTGTTGTATATTTCTTGTTCAATAAACAAAATAGAACTATATTTGGTTGCTTTATTATTAACAAAAACTTATTTAAAGGAATAGTAATAATACGCATAGAATACCTAATTATCTAATGCGTAGAAATATAAGATGTAAATTATTATAATTATGGCGCATTTAAAAGTATTTTGATTATAATCTATATTATTATTCGTCTGTATTATTAGTAGGTACTTATCTATGGGGAAGGCTATGGAGTATCTATCGGTGTGTTATCAGTTGATAGACAAAACAAATGTAACAGGCGATGACGAGGTGTCGTGGTGTTGATAACGTTATCATAAACGTATCTAATATTTTATCCAAAAGAATTATACGTACTTATTAGTTGATTGGCAACAGATATATTTAGAACCTATTTGATTATTATGATAGAATCTTATAAAAATACACTTCTATGTCACCTCCGTACGATAGCTTTCCATATGTGAAAGAAATTATGATCGTATCATTATTTCTGAAGATTATTCCCTACAAACGAATAGTCTTTATTGAATCAAGTCTAAATTTTGCAACTAATAAATGCATATTTTAAAATTCACTAACATTTTACTACTTATTTGAAGCATCCAACAATAACAATCAACGAATAATCTAAAACTTAACCATTCATCGATGAAACTCTACAAGCTCTACATTTCTTTCTGTTTTGCCTTTAGTTTGGCCTATTTGTTCATTATATTACTTTAAATATAACCTTCCTCATTATGTTAACATTAGCAGAATTGAGCCCCAAGTGTAGACTATAACGTGGTAATATAAGATTGGCTCCTGAAGTAATATCAATTTTATTTTATGCATACATGTGTTTTATCATGCTGATCAAAAAGCTGCGAAAGAGTGAAACGTAGGGTCATCCCACGCGCTCAATACAAAACACTAGTGGAAATTGTTATTCTACGATTGTCTATGAAATGATGGATGCATTACGTTTATCACTGAAATAGTATTCTTGTCCAAACTCTGTCTCAACGTTCCTATAAAGTTTAACTTTAGTTTGTAAAGGTAAATATGTAGGTTTTTCTTCTATAATTTTCTGCATATTTACCGAGTGATAAGAAAAATGTTAGCTCGGTCATTATTACAAATCATGGTTAGATATATGGTCACAAAAACACACAGATTAGTTGAAAAGAGGTCAGCGGTTAGTTTGATAAAAACTTTTTAGACTGATATTCCTTTGAATGGAGAATACACATCGAGTGGTAAACGCAAAAATATTGGTAGAATTATTGGTAGTTTTTTATAAAGAAAACTTACAAAAAACGATGAGGCAATGTTGCTAAAAACTCAAGTCTAGAAGAGAATTGACTGCCTATAAATAGTTTTAGCAACGTGATTCACGTCTGGCGACATTGAAATATTTTTAACTGCTGAAAGAAAAGTGTTTGTTTTCTCGTTAACGGTGACTTAGAAATAATCGAAATTAATATCTATCTCCTTAGTAACAAGGATACTTTAGGTACTAATATTTTATATCATTGCATTGCTATCATATATTAGCCAACTCGCACCTTGAACCGAACGATATAGAATCTATGTTTATGTTATATAAAATATATTCTAGAATATTCCAGTATGATGATGAAATGTAGAGATAAAATTTCCTATTTTTTTTTCATTAAAACAGATCGTATATTTCTATCTACTGGATTATAAATAAAATCTTGTGAAGTAATTATCCGTATTCTCATATGTGTGAATGTAATTCCTAATAGTTACATATTCGATCGTTTTATTAAAAATTATATGGGATCTTTTTTTGTCTACAGGGCATCTGCGAAGGGCTAACCTACGAAGAGATGCAGGAGAGATTCCCTCAGGAGTTTGCATGGCGTGATCAGGACAAACTGCGGTACCGCTATCCTTGGGGCGAGTCATATATAGATATTATGACGCGGCTGCGACCCGTTCTGTCTGCCTTGGAAGATGAACATAACGTTGTGGTGGTGGGACACCAGGCTGTCTTGCGATGCATGCTTGGATATTTCCTCGACGCTAAACTTGGTAAGTTGATTTTGGGTATATTTCATTCATTTTACTTTCACAATGATATATTGACATTTTATCTTAAAGATTTTTTTTTAAATCCATCAGTACCGTGTGTCCGAAATCCGAAATGGGATTGGAACCCACAAACTTTCGCTATCTGGACGTCTGCTGTAAAAACTGACGAATTTCATAAATACTTGTAACTTTTGCTAGTGGTGATTTTCCGCTACTGTTCAGGTAAAGCATCTAAACAGACTAAAGAAATATTTCTAGAAATATTTTAAACTTTTGATCAAGACGTCTTTATGTTCTAATTATTATATATGTATGTGATCGATTTTGCATACTAAAAGCTCAGTTCCGCTGGGTCGACAGTATCTCAATGGTAAGAGCAATCACTCGGATTGCGAAAGGGTTTGAATCCCATCATATTGGACCCGGCGTACTCCTTGCCGGATCCCAGGTCCATCCCCCTGGTGGCTACTTGTCATCGGTTCTACCAGGTAGGCCGATTTCGCTTAAGCCTGTCCTTTTCATGACGGGTGCGAGGTCGGAGAGCCCTGGTTTAATGCTTTAGGTGCATTTCCCCTGCGTTAAAAAAAGGCATTGAATTCCATCAGGGACATGTGTCCCTAAAGCATGTGAAAATCTTTTTTCTTTAACGGTATTTTTTTTAAAAACATCGTTTAATATTATGTGCCGTTTAAGTTTAGTACATTAACAAATAAACACTATACTTACGATTAAAATTATTAAAGATAAAATAAGGAACTTAGCAATTATATCTAAAAAAACGTATATAGTGACGCAAAGTAGCAAAAATTTACTTCGATAACAACTTTTGTAACAACAAAAGATGAAATTAATCGATAAGTAATGCAATAACAACAATAAGTTATCTACTTTAATTAATTGACAATAATAGAATAATCAATAAATTATGACGTCATACTTTTCAAGAAAAAGCTTTCATCATTAAAGCCATAACAACTGATTGTAAGATAAGTTAATAATCATCACTGAATGTATTTTGATCCTCTATTGATTTTTCTTCCAGATGAACTCCCTTATATGACTGTGCCGTTACACACCATAGTGAAGCTGACCTCGTATGGATACAAGTACAAAGTGGAGATGATCAAAATGCCCATTGAATGTGTGGACACGCACCGCAAGCAACCCATGGTGAGTATAAAGCATCACATACTAAATACCTTGTGTGCTTAATTACTTATACCATGGTTCTTAACTGTTGATTTGTGGACCACTTTTGTATTTGAAGTGTGAGTGGAGATTTTTAGACTGAAAATCGGTGATTAATTTAAAAAAAATTGGTGAACATATATAAAAAACATACATTGCCGTCGAACATATAGCCTCCTACTTTTTGATTTTGAAGTCCGTTAAAAAGTTAACAACCTCTGATTTAGACGAAGCAAAATCATGAATTGCATTATAAAGTTAAATCATAAAAGTCTGTCATTGGTTGCAATTTTTAATATCTGCAGCTCTGCCGCGTAACTAAAGCATATTGCATGCATATTGATGTCAAAATAAATACCTGTATAATCATGACAAATTGCGTTTTAAATACTATAAGTAATTAGTTTGTGCCTATATTTGAATATGGTATACATGAGTGTGTTACAAAAATGTTTTAAATCAAAGAAGTATTCATAAATATGTTTTACTGGACTTCCAAGTTTGCTGACTTTGGGTTTTTACACCAATGTCCAATGTACAATATATTCTTATGCCTTGTATTCACTTATGGTCGATTATGTCAGGCAATAAAAAATATTATTGTCATTCACAATGTTATATTAAAATTTTCTATAAAATATGAATAATGTATGTTATTGTCTCTTAATAAAAAAAAAACATAAAAATTGCGAATCAACTTAACTTAAACAAATTGAATTACTATTCAGTATGATAACTTTTATAAGGATTTAATTACTTCTATAAGTACTGTACAATTGACCAATGTCAGTTGTTACTTCTCCACGGAGCAGCTTCAGGAATTGTTAGAATTTCAATGCTTACAGATCCCGAGGATGCTCTTTGAAAGTGCAATACACATGTAGAGTAGTGGTTGCGACATTTATTACCTTGCGATATTTGTTGTTTGCACAGTACGTCTTTCAGATATTGACAGGGTGTAGAGGTTACTAGATATTGTAGTTTCATAGTTTTAGCTAGAACAATTTGCTTTCTAGTGAATACAAAGTTTAATGACGCCTCTAAATATTAACCATGTACTTACCTTTATTTGATAGCCTTAATAAGCTTAGATAGCCGCTTAATTCAATAATTACAAATGATATTGTAATCTAAGTTTTAAGCAATCATGTTGATAATCTCTTAGATGATTTATTTGCAAAAGACTTTTAATAGCGCGCTCTTTAGTAAACACGATTAGGTATCTTTAATCGAAAAACGTAAGTAACTCGTATAAAAACAAACACCGCTTAGTGTGGGTAATTTTGAATAACATGAAAATAAACATGTAATTTCGACAAAGATTATAAAAATACCTACTTATAATAAGATTCTTCTTATTCACCATTTTATAACGCCACTAAGGGCAGCAGTTATAATTATTTAGCATGTATCGTTCCACCTCGCCGGGTGGAAGAACGGAAGTGGTCTACTGGTCCTAGCCAAATATAATAGTAACAGCAAGCCTATCTATGCTGCCATAGAAACATTCGAGTAGTGTATGAATAGATGTTAAAAAAATCAGAGAGCGCTTTTTCCCTAATTAAACTAATAAAAATGTAATTTGTTCCAGAACTGCTCCATCACGAGGAGTGCTTCCGAAGCTCTGACAACGGTGCCGTCTCATTACGACACCCTTCCCTCTAACTTATGGCAGAACACAGCTGAGGCACAACTTTAAACCTCTCAGCCGCCGGCCCTTCGGCCACACAGTGAACTTAGCACATCAGCATTAGAAGGGTCACCCGTGATGTTATGATGTAATGTCTGAGCCCATCGGGGCATCGGCCACTGTGCCCACGGCTGTGAAACGCCTTGGATTGCACACGACGCCACGCCAAGAAGTTACAGGAGACTTTGCAATCCTACCCACGAAAGACAGTAGTGTGTTACTTCGCGCGTGTGAAACCGCGTCGAGTATAGAGTTTACTTAATATGTAGATTAAGATTAATTAATTATTTGATTTACACTCGGACGTTGAACGTCATCCATTGATCTGCGATCATACGATAGCTCAATTGTAATTGTACAAATTTTCATGTGCGAATTTTAAATATTTAGCTTCCAATTATACGTATTTATAAGACTGAAAAAAATAATCCATGATCAGATCGAGTAAAATTCTTCAATTTTAACAAAATATATAATTAATAAAATGTTTATCTTTTTAATTTAAGTAGGTTTGTGGATAGCTCCCTATTTTATTAATTCGTGTTCTTGTTCTTTTTTTTATAGAATAGTCAACTTACACGTAAATATTTACTTACTTTTGAATAAAATGTATAATGCATTATATAAATAAGAATATTTTTGTAAGCACTTATATAACGTAAATTTAATAATAATAAAAATATGTGTTTCGTTCTAACATAATATAATACAAGTTATTACGAATAAGTTGAAACTAATTGTAAATTGTTTTATTTTCAGGGTTTGGTTTTTAAGATAATTTAATAAGTATTAGATGGTTTTAGTGATAAGCCGGGATATGCTTCGCAATTTTAATACAAAGTTACGAAGGGTTCATGCTATCAACTTGCTTACTTATTATATTTAAGTTATAAAGTATCAACGATACTGGTCAATTATATATAAGACTTTTGTCGGTGTTGTTCACTTAATACAATGGGACACTCTTCTGCTATGGTCGATTCGTCTATTATAAATCTGTTTTCTTTTTATTAGATACTATTTTGATCTAGAATATCATGGAATTATTTATAAGATGTAAGGTAAACAATAAAAAAATGTTGTTAGTAGAATGTAATCATTCTCAAGTTAAATGACAATCTCAAAACTGTTTTTGTATGAATAAAAGTAGGGCAATTTACTAAAAGATGATGTTTTATTTGCTAATGCTTCCACATTCCCAACTTCAGAAGTTTGGAACCACAAGCTTATTTATATTTCTTGCATTAAAATTATAAATATTGAATTCTTTTTCAAACGAATCATAGTGTTTTCTTACGCAGTCATTTCTTATTTTCACCTTAATATTGAAAGGTAAAATATTGATAGGGGAGACCTAGGAGAGTTGTGACAATTTTTACATAAGGGGCTCTATCTCGCTTAAGAAACATTCCACAGTTATGACTCATGTGAATTAGTTTAGCGCCATTCCTTCTGTTTTCAAAACCATCACTAAAATTAATTAAAGTATAATAGTTTCTGAAAAAAATAACAGAATTCAAGTCCACTCCCCTTGTCACAACTCTCCTACCACCGAGGTAAGTTGTGACAGGTACCGAGGTAAGTTGTGACATCATTGTATTTAAGCTATAAGATATAAAAATACCATTACATACGACATAAATAAATCAAGTACGTTTTTTTTTATCAAATCAGTACTTTAATCAGTACTATAATAATAAATTTGACTTGGAAAACACACACTGAACATGTTTGCAAAAAGTTGTCCCAGTATTCTTGTGCACTGTACAAACTTAGTAGGATCGCGAATCAGTGCACGGTCCTTACAGCTTATCACGCGTACGTAGTTTCTACTGTTCGATACGGTTATATGTTATGATTATATTTTGGGGATATTCGACTGATTCTGTAACTGCCTTTAGAGCCCAGAAAAAATGTGTTAGGAGCATATTTTATTAAACTAAATATTATGACTCTGCCATCAATCTATATATTCGAAGTTGGTATTTTTGTCAAACAGGATCAACAACTATTTGAAAATAAGACGAGATTGCATCATCGAGACAAATTGTGTACGATACCCTCTAAGACAGCTCAGTTCAACAAAAGTATCTTATGTATGGCTCCAAAAATTTTTGATAAAATTATCTAGCTGACAGTACTTTGTAAATGTATAAATACTTAATGAATTAGTTGAATTTTTGACATAACATATTATTTATTAGATTGGTTGACAATTACTAACCTACTAATATTGTATGCTTTTTAGGCAGATCACGGTGTAACTATTCTTTCAGTCCTTGCATCTAATATCTTTATATAACCTTCGATCAACAATAAAGATTGATTTGATTTGATTAATCATCTTTTAATACCTACCAACTAAAACAACATAGTATTAATATTAATACTACAATAATATGATTGATCTCAAAGCGATACAATATTTAGTTAATGAAAATATTATAATTACTTGTTATGAGAATATTCTCATCAGTATAAAATCTTAATCTAATCAGATTCACAATTATGCCAAACGTAATGAAGTTCGTCCCCAGTACAATCTAACTGTGCCTAGCCTTTGCATTCCAGGCTTTGGACCCACTGATCATTCGATCTGCTGTCTGCATAGGCTTCAAGGCAAACCGAATAAAGGTAATTATTTTCTACATCTTCTTCATCGCTTGTTCTATTCTTCTTATTAGTCTTCTTTGCTTTTTTAGGTTTCTTTTTTTTCTTCGCTTAAGACACGCTTCTTAACATTCTTAGATTTTCAGTCTCTCGTGTATAGTTATTTGGTATTCTCGAAAAAATAAGTATGCGGTATGCCATTATACACCTTAAGTAGCTACTAAGACACCAATAAACATCTAAAGTTAATAAAAAAAAATGTAAAAATAGCCCAGCAGAAATTTGGAGTAAGTTAGGAGAGTTGTGACAGGCTGTCACAACTCTCCTAGGTGTTCAAAATGACGTCTTGTTCCGAATAATAATTCATATTTTCTAAACACGATGCGCATACAAAAAATCAGTGCCACGTATTGAGACTTAAATAACTACATAACTTAAGAAAAAATAACACATCAATGCACATATACTAAGATATGATATATATTCAAATAATATTTTGAACAAAAACTTACTTTTCGTAATTTTTTGTACACTGACGATATATTTACGCAACTATGCCACATGCACCGTCGACAGGTACTGAGTCGTGTAGCGCGTGTCGAGAACGACAAACAAGCGTTAATGCCATCTCGCTTACTATAATACGTAGAGAGAAATCCTCCTTGTCACAACTCACCTCTGTCACAACTCACCTAGGTCTCCCCTACTCTTAGTTTTATATTATAGGAGATTGCTCTCTTTTGTAGTTTAAAAAATATCTCCTGCTCCTGCGTACGGATGTGGTGATGGCTCTGACGTATCAATGACATGGGGTTCAACAACAACATGATTATTCTTCATGTGGTCCCTTTCAACTAATTTTGATACGCTACGTCACAAGCAGAAAGTCATTTCTGTCTGTTTGATTTTCTAATAACATGAACAAAACAATGTACTTGATAAGGCATCGATATGAGGACCATTGCAGTCAAAAATCTAGCGAAATTCCAAGGAACTTTGTTTATTACACCAAATTTCATTATTTATATTTTAAGTACTTGCTTGCCTCGCATTAGATAGTGTAAGCAATATTTACGAATTTCGTTTAACTTAAATTGCTTTTCTAATTATTATAGTTAGCAAACGCAATATATCGAAGGAAGCACTGTATACGACTATTGACCTTTTTATCTTAAAAAAAAAGGTACTACACTCCCATAGTGATGCGTGTCCTTACAGACTTTGTTTTATCAAATTACAGTTATTTAAATATGAGCAGACAATATGATTTTATTAACTTACTTACTGAAATTTTTGACACACCCTAAATGCTCTAAATTTTCTATCAGAGTTTCATGTCATGCATGACTAATGCTTTTGATAAATCAAAAAGAAAATCGAATGAAATAGTAGAAACTTATGTAGACTTATACTTCAGAGAATTACCATTATTAGGACTTATTACATGCTGATTATGACAAATATAGAAACATTAATTACTACATAGATAAATCTCATTTTTATGTATAAACATGAAATGACAGATAATACCTTTAACACCAATACTTTTAACTATCTATTTCAAGATTGAGAGTAATCTCTCTTTAATGAAGTCTAATTGTACGCTATCCGACTTTAATTGAATCTAGAGAATATTTAGGTCAACTTTGATATAAATAACGGAATAAGTATTTTAAAGACTATCTTTATTTTGAGTAGATAAAGTTGTTGTTGATTGTTGTGTAAAATAGTATAATGTCGTTCTGAAAATATATAATTACATGAAAGGTTTCTGGTTAATACAAACTTAAAAGACCTTTCACTAAACCCTATCTGGTTTAGTACAAAGACTGGTTTAGTACATTAAAAAGCTGTGATTAAATATAAATATAGTTGATGAACTATATAAAAATGTAGAAAATTTATTAGAGCTATGTACAGTGGTAAAGCAATCACATAGGCTCCAGCCGGAGGAATAAAAAAAAAAAATAATTTATTTAATAAAAGTAAAATTACAATTTAATTAATTACTAACTACTGTCTAAGCCTGATGCTATGAACAAAGTACTGTAAAAATATAATTATTAATTTAATAAAAAATGTGAATTTCACAATATGATGACGACGAACATTGTATCCACACGTTCTGCTGTCGCTGCATAGTGATTTTTTGTAATACCTAACTGGCTAATTTGGGTCGCCGTTGATCTATAGGTATCGGCAAATATAATTCAGTCGATAGCACGTCAGATAACTTACAAATGGCTAAATTTACCCAGTCGAGTTAATAAATAAATAATAGTGATATTGACATTTTTTAATTAATAGGTAACACTAAAAATATTAAATATCTATGTAAATAAAAATATTAAACATAGTGAAAATCTTAGAATAGAAGATTTTGTTTATTTGCTCGACATATTTCCAATAATCTATATTCATATTTTAGAGAGGAAAGATTTGATTGCTTGTTTGTTTGCATTGGATAGGCCCCGAAACTATTGGACTGATTTATAAAAGCTAAGAATATATTTTACGCAGGCGAAGTCGCTGGGAAATACCTAGTTTGATTCAAGAAGAAATCGATGAACACGGTGAGGCAGTTCGTCTTTTGCAGTTTCATTGCTGTAAAGGTATCACCGTATTTTCTTGTGATAAAATATGTGTCTTACATTTTAATAATGGGTTCAAGACGAAGTGAGACTACTAGTGCTGTTTTGAGATCTTATAAAGAACTTGATGATCGCCAGTTAATAGTTATAAGTGACGTTATCAAATTCATTTTGATTACTAAAAGTGAACTGAAATAACAGAAGAATATTCAGGACTAATTGGAAAACAGCTAGCTGTTTGTGAAAATTAACCTCTAACGTCTTTTTGTGCAGTGGCTGGCAATGTGCCCGAATTATCTGATAATATTATGAAGGAACTAAGTACGGATCAAAAGTATCTCTAAGAAATGTGTCATACTGTGATGACTGGTTCCTGTTCCCCGGAGCTAGTGAACCGCCAACCTAGGAAGATTCATTCTAGATGGCTCACTTCTGCCAATCTCATACTTAGATTTTATGTAAGTACTGTTTCGCCGTCAGATAATTTGCAGTTGCTTGTAAACTACGTGGTTAAAGTTTACGCCCCTGTTTGGTTCCTCATTAAACAAAACTCATCCTTTTAAGATGGAGCCAAGCATATTTTTCAAATGATTGTGCACTCTCGATTGCCTGATAGTCAGAGATCTACTGTAAATTCAGTGATCGAAAGAAACGCTTTTTTGCGCACCCAGAAAACCTACTTATTGCCCTGTTATTCTACGATAGAGAACACATTCGAGAACTTGCATCTCGCAAAATATGAAATGCCAGAGAAGCAGAAAAGAGTAAATCTCGCAGGGTATTTAAAACACCAAAGCTTAATTTCTGTGCAAAAGATTAAATTAATATAATATTTTAATATAAGGCAAGAGTGTGAGATATCGGCTCCACCAATTTTGCGACACATCTCCAACGATGACCTTAGAATGAAGGCTATAAAAAACAGAGCCTCGACATTGTTGACTTCCCCTGTCACACACA